TCGCGTCCGCGACGGTACATCTCGCGCTTAAGATTAGCCGCGGGATCCACCGACGGATGGATTATCCGTATTTTCCTTCCGGCTCATCCGCGGAGATGTATCGCGCGTCATTGGCGGCGCGCCAGAGGGGTGGCCTGGCATCAGGCGGCATCTCTTAATAATAATAGCGATAAAGCAGCCAAAAGGGGCACTTTTGGGTCACGGCGTGCACTCACCCTCCCTCCTCTTCTGCTCCCGAATGCGTCGCCTGCGGGGGTGAAACCGCGGCCGTATGACGGAAGGCGAGGAGGATCTCGCTCCACTGTGTCTTCCCGCGTCGTCGCGAGGGAAGCGGGCGACTTCTTTCCCGATTTTACGGCTCGTTGGCAGCAGAAACTCCGCGTTAAACGCATCCGCGGACTCGCCGTTTTGGAATAGCGCCGCGACGAACAGATTTAATATAATGAGACGCGACGTTTCTCCTAAGCGGCTGGCGAGGGAGTGTCGCGCACCTCGGCGCGTTTTACGAGTGCCATTGGACCGACTGCTGGACACTTTTATTTACGTGTTACAATACACAAAAATTTTCAATAATTAAAACACTATTGCAACAGCATATTTCTGAGACTAAATCAAGTAAAAAAAGTCCTGTACTACTTTTCCCTCCGACACACAGTTATCGAGATATCATAAGCTAAACACTGAAAAAGTTAGCAATTTTGAAACGTTTTTCCGTATCTTTCATATTTTTGGAGATATTTGCGTGGATCGTTTAAAATGAGACACCCTGCCTCGTCATCGAAAGTATATTCAGGCCATTGAAGATCATATCGGCTCGCCTCATACTAATACGGGATAATTTTTATTTACGAGAAAGGCTAACGCGCGGTCGCCACGTCGCGGCAGTGAGTGGTACTAGTGCTATATATTCTGAAAATACACGAGAAGTGTGGCCATCGACAGGAACGAACATTTAAACTTATCTTTCAAACGGGCTTTGAAATGTCTTTACTGCGATTATTTTATACGGCACTCCCGAACGCAATGGGTACCTTTGGTTGTCCCGTCTTTAGGGTCTGTACTCTCTAAAAATTAATCAGTGCATCATTACTGTAAATCAGTGAATATTCATTGTTTCCAGTGATAATCCACTGATTGACTTTTGGAGAGTAACCCTTCAGGGTACTTAAGCCCCTCCACCACAGCAAGGTAGTACCCGAGGAGGGGATTATCGACAAAAACTGTGCAATTACATATGTGTAGGGGAACC